TGCTGCTCTATAAAAAATACGAATATGTAATTTGTTATCAAATATTATTTTCATTATCATTCTAATCAGCTTGTTGAGTTCTTCTTATATAATATCTCGACTCATGTTCCTTATGAGATCTAAAAAGAAATACATAAAAATCGAAACCGTTTTGATGCGAGCTAATTGCTGTGATGGCGAGTTCAAGACCCTCTTAAAACAGTTTTTCCAACGGCAATCAGATGCAACATATTTTCTTTTAGCAATATTTGTGTGGTTTTTGCGTCAAAGCTCATTAGTTGCGATTTGAAAAGCAAAAGGGCCCCCAGAAATAATGCGGAAAATCCGCATTAAAAACTCAAGTTTCCCCTGTGACACACAAAAAACCGAATGCCCCGCCAAACAAGGAAAGTAATTTGCCATAGGTAAAAGAAACAGAGTCACCATGACATTTGCACACCATTCGACCAGACCATAAACAAATAAAGAAATGCTATTACTGGGCAAGTGGCAACTGCTAAATGGGCTGACCATAGCTAGGCCCAGCACACACACACACACACATAAGTAGTACGTACATACAATCGTGTATGAATTTGTAGACATAATATTCATAGCAACTATGTCGAGCGACCTTAATTTGCAGCGTACTACGAACCCAAAACTATTAACCAGGTTATGCTAGGTGGAAATGTGAAGGGAGAGAGAGAGGGGGGGAGGAGTGGTCATAAAACTGCGTGCCACGCAATTTCAAAGAAGTAAAGCTGAGCTAAAATCAGAGAAATGAGAGGGAAATGAGCTTAAGCTTCGGGTATGATGAATCAGCAATCAAAGAATATACAAAAACAAAACAAAAATATATATATAATATATACATATATATAGTATATATATATATATATATTTACGAGGCTGTATAAAAAACATTTTAAAAACTGGTTTTCATCAACTGGGACGTACCAGCTCGCACACTCACATGCAAATGAGTTAATTTTGAAATTTTTGTTATTGTTTTTGTTTTTGTTTGCGAATTTGTCGATAAATTGTCGGACAACGGACGGCAAGCGACGATACATATATGTATGTTGATGACTTCACCCCAAAAAAGAAGTTTGCTCGCGTACGTGAGCCGAGCTTTTGATTTTCTGTTAAAAAATCATTGAAAATAGAATACAAATAAAAAAAAAAAAAATAAACTATAAAATGCCTGAGAAACTTGCGTTCAGAATGGGTTTCAATATTATCTAATCCAGGCCTGACAAATAAAAAGCGAATAACAGTTACATTTGGTATAGGTTGTTGTGTAGGTTGTTGCCTTTGTCCATACGCTGCTTTTGTGTTCTTAGGCGTTGAAGATCGGCGTTCTTTATATGGTCAATCAAGTGAGCTTGAAGTGCGGTGGGCGTGCGAAAGGCGGAAACACGAAATTAAAGCGCATGAATTGCCGTTTTTATGGCCATTTTGATGGGCAACACTGTTGAAGAAGTGTCAAGTGCGGCATGTTATCGATAGCTGACTGGCTAGTAAACGCTCTACTATCGATTATTCTCCATTTTTAATAATTACGTTTCCGTTCACTATTTAAATAATCGCTTATATTCATTTTTGCATGTTTCTGCATCTAAATGCATCCTGTTGCAATCAATGCTAATCAAAGCGAATTACATTATTAAGTTCTTAGCAAAGATCTCAGTCGCTGAAAATTGGCGTTTTATTCAGAAGGGGTGGGCATAAAAGCTGTTTAATAAATTAGAGAGAGAAACTGGTTGCTCCAACAAAACAAACAATAAAAGAACGTGTTAGTTCACTTAACTTATTAAATCGGTAAGGCGAAACGGACTTTCGAAAAGGCCAGGGGTAAAGACAACAAGTTCTATAATGTATGCAGTATATGGACGTATAAACATTTATACATACATATGTATCTAGATATTTTTTAGCGTACCGTACGCCCACTCAAAAGTTGTTCCAAAAAATGACAAAGCAATAGCATTAGAGAGGTACGGTTAAGTGTTGGAGATATTTCAGAGATTCGATCTCAATTCATTGCCTAACAAATAATAACAACAATTGGCAGTAAATCGTGATAAACGACAGACCCGAACTAAGCTACAACTTCAATTGATAGCCCAATCGCCAATTGTTCTCCAGAGCGAGTTTTAGTTCAAAATACACAATAAGAAAAAATGAAAAAAAATAAATAAAAATAAAAGCATGGTCAGCCAGTTGGGCGTAAGCGAAGAAAAATAAAACCCGTTTCTCAGACAATGGCAAAAAGCAACGTTTTTTTCGGACTGTGAACTAGATATTTTAGAGCAGGCATCTAATACTACAAGAAACTGTGATATTTTACACATAAATAGCCAACAATATTGATAGCCAAGAGTTTGTTAAAGAAAAGAGCTTCAATAATTTGAAAAATGCGTGAGAACCTTAGAAAGTTTTAAAGAACCATCAAATTATTCTTCTATGTGCACAAAGGAAAAGTCTGGAAAGCGCTGTAAATATTTAGATTTTCAGTGAATGCGCAGCAGCTGCGCCCATACATATGTACGTTGCTCATTTACATGGTGGGCTTAGTATATTACAAAAGCTGGTCAGAAAATAAAGCAAATCAAAATAAATAATAAAATCAGCTAAAAATAAAAGCCCATGCTCATAAATTGGCACACACGCTTCAACAGACCGCAAAAAAAGGCGCGCTTGATGACTCGAACCACGAACTAAGCCAACACCTACACACCTACACAATAGACCCGCCAGTCCCAACTCTAATTACGTCAGTCAGCCATAGCTATACCAACTATTATATACTATTGTATATACGCACACTACATTATGCCTGGACATCAACTAAAATGGCCCACAACTGCTAACAACGAATGGCAAATGGCAAATGTGGCATTGTTCTTATGACGCATCAGCGGCCATCAGAGCCTCCAAAAATTAATTAGACACCCATTTTAATAGCTATGCTCTTCGCTTTGCATATGCGAAAAAACTTTGCGAATTCGCAGAGAACTAAGCTCGCATTTCTTTATCTGATTTATGCGGCATCCACATGCCACATGCCACGAGCCACACGCCACGAGTCCTGCTCCCTTGAGCTTGCAAATGAATTGAAATATTCCGAATGACAAATTGAATCACTCACGGCTCATTTGACCTTTGCGTCTTGACCAATTTCGAGCTAAAAGCTTGAAGCGAATTGTTATTGTCTTTATACTTCTCTCTTTGTTTTTTTGGTTAATGAAAAGTGGAACATGGGAAAATGTTTTTGTTTCGCTGGATGAGCGCAATAATTTTAATGAATAATGCTACACAGCAGTAGATGTTAAGTGGTTCACTTGGCTGCGTTTTCTTATGGCTTTTTAATAGGCGTTCCATCAGACAATCGATTATCGATAGGTCATCGAAAGACATGGGAACCAAATTTTGAAAATTATTAATTTTTAGAAGGAAAACAACTCAAAGTCGAAGTGTGCTCTCTAACAATATTACAAAATAGTCTCCTTGAAAAAGTATTTCGTGTTGGACAGTCGGTCAGCTCCCTAGAGTGGCCTTCCTACTAAATACATAGTTTCGAAATGAAGATGAAGTCATGCGACAATTTTAAAAAGCCCGAACGGAAACAAAAATTACAACTCTTTGCATGACTAAACCAACTCACTCGTACAACCTGCATACGCATCGAATTTAATTCAAGTTCAACGCCTCGATCCGTCCTCTGTCTGGGTTACTGACACCAAAGGGCACTACACTTCCTAGAATACCCAAATAGCTACATACCCACATTTCCTAGTAGCTCCCATGGAACGGGGGTTCCATTGACATTAACGGTGCGTTTACATGACGAATGCCCAAAAGTCAATATAATTGATAAGAAAACAGAATTTGTGAGCGACAAAAAGAACAATTCCATTAGCCTAACTATTTACTGGATGGTGGAATGGGCGTGGGCGGGCGGTGACTCCATAAAGTTTTGGTTAAATACGCAGCAAGTAATATGCTAATGAACGACCACGAACTTGAGCCGGGCGCGTGTTATGCCTTGAACCAGAGCGTTAGAGCTTTATCTGGGCATTAGCTCTGGATATTAGCTATAGAGCATTGTCTATTGCTCGTATGTAAACAGGTGTGTGAGCGCACACAACACCCACTGTGGTTCAAGGTCGTCGTCGTCGTCGTGCACAGGCATTGATAAAGATAAACAAATTGGCGTCTGTTTCCTTGTATCGTCTTTGGCTTCTGACGCTATCAGAGTACAGCTAGCTGATAGAAGAATAAAAGAGCTAAGGCTGCAACGGGTTTTATATATACTCTAGAATGCAACTAATGCAAAGTAAGAGCATGAAAAATCGATAGCATTACGTAGATAACTACTATGCATATATGTATGTATGTATGAAGGAGTGCACACACACATAAATATATGCATTGCATGTGTGTTTGTAGTTCAGTAGTTTACTGCGCACTTTTATCGTGAATTCTATGGGGCATGTCAGGCAAACATTTCGTTGACCACTCACTTGGGATATACACAAACATACATACATTTATATGTACATAGGTATATATGTCCATACTCTATGGCTGTCATGTACTTCTGTAAATAAATATTTAATACATTGTCGTACGACATTGCAGTTGACAAAATGTGTCCTGTTGCAATTGGCCGTTGAACAGGTGGAGTGAAGAAGAAGAGAATTAATCAATATGCATTAAATTATGCATATACTATAGAAGACTGTATTAATGACTGGGAATTAAGTCAGCTTGTGTTAAGTGAGGCCACAAAATCAATACAAATCAAAAGATGAGTCAGCGCACATGCGATCAGCGCTGACAGCAAGCGGAACAATCAAATTTAACTTTTAAAGCTCACACTATCGATAAAAGCCATGAAAGGTAATCGAAGGACAACAGTCGATCAGCGTTGCCAGTTGACTTGAATATCGGCAAACTGTTGATTAATTGCATTCCTTGTTAATACAATATTTTTAATTCTTGTGTCAACTTACCTCTATTTTGCTGGAATATTCCTCAATTAATTTCTCCTGTTGTTTGACCAGCTCCTCGTTCTTTTCTAGCAAAGCTTTGCCCAGCTCTGCTGCCAATAGTATATCCGATTCCTTTTGCTGCAACTGAGCCCACACATCCGGCTCGCTCTCGTTGCGTCGTGCCTCCATGGCGCTGATGTAATGTTCTAAATCAATTGAAGCGTCAATTAGTGAGGAGTGCGAATGGTTATCGTAGAGTGGCGATGACAAATCGACTGCAGACTCTTTAGCTGTCGCCCCTGCTGCTGTGCCGGCCGTTGTGGGCTTGCTGAATTGACGTGCGCGTTTTGATTTGTTGTTGTAGTTGTTGTTTGATATGGATGAAGCAATACCGGCAGCAGTTATAGGATTTGCTAGCTTTGGTCTATGCATGATCGTTAACGGCAGGCGGTAAGTGGTGGTGGTCGGGTGGTATTACGAACAACAAACAAAACACACACAAACATAACACAAAAATGCGATATATAATAATTTATATGTATATTATTGCTTGTTAGATTTGATGAAGGCGATCGACCGGGCAATCGAGCGAGCGAGCGAGCGATTAGCGATTTATTTTGTTAGCGGCGATTATAATTTGTTTTTTGTTTTCTCTCTCTCTTTTTTATATTATTAGGTTAGGTTTTCAAATACAAGACAACACGCTGTAGTCGCTCTTGTTGTTGCTGCTGCTGTTTTTGTTCTTGTTGTTGATGATGCTGAAGTCCCTGGTGATGCTGTAGATGTGCCTCGGGAATGACAGGCCCAAGCCACATGATGTTTCCATAGATGTCCGCTGCCCAAGAGCAGCCCAGCATGCGTTTATATGACGATTCAACTATTATTGTTGGTAAATAGCAGGCAAGTTTAGTAAGTAAGTAGCTTTACTGTGAATTACAGCCAAATTGGCAGCAAGGCATATGGAAATATAATACAAGACCTGCTCACCGCCCCAAAAGCGAGCACGTAAACTGAGCTAAGCTAACCAAAAAGGAGCGCCGATCACGTTGTACATTTACAAGCACGTTTTCGATTACAGACTAAGGGCTGTGGATGTAGAGGGGCGACCAGGTCAATATATATACATATGTTTGTGTGTATGTGTGTACACACACATGATGACATACAAATACGGAATATAATGAACGTTTAGTCAAGCTGCATGCAAGAGGGTTAATGCTCGGGGCCGTTTAAGGGTTAAGAATTACTTTTCGAAAAGTTCAGGGAAGAAGTTAAAAGAATTTTGAAAATCAATTATATTTTGTATTAATATATGCACATCCGTTTAGAGACCTTTTACTATATACATATGTATGTATATCTGGAATTTTTTGAAGCTTTATAAAGTATACCTTAAAAATTATTTCTACTGATTTACGTGACAAAATGTGTTAAATGTTTTTATATTATATACATTCGTATATATACACAGATATGTATGGGTAGGTTTAGGTTTGTGAATTTTCAGCTAGGCAAAATTTAGTATAGTTTATAAGTTGGGCTCTCAGCACAATTTAATGTACGCTAATATCGCATTTCTGGGTTAAATATATAGGTATTTCTAATGTCCATAACATCTGACGTCAATGGATCGAACAAAGCTTTTAACGCCTGAAAATCGAGTTTCGTCGCGCCAATTTTGGATAGGGCATTATTAGTATTAGCTGTAGCTTTAAATGCGAATTTCTAATGCTTCATTTCGTATGTAGTATTTATTTGTATATAGAAAATTCATTTGGCAAGCACTTCACGCTTTGCTGCATTTGGTGGCAGTTGCTTTTGTTATTGTTGTTGTTGTTGTTGTTAGAGCCAATATAAAATGCGCTTAATGCGTTCGTTTTTTGGCCAACATTTAATTTGTTTTATTATTGGTTGGCAACACACACACTCACACTCACACACACATACACGTAGTAAGTTATTGTTGTTGTGTTCGAGTCAAGCACTTCCGTTATATGTGCCACAGTCACATAGTTAAGTATATCACTAAATATATGTATATATATTTATATATGTATATTCTGTCTGGTTCTCAGCTTTTATTGACAAAACAACAACAAGAGCAGAAAAAAATTGAACGCGCGCTTAGCATGCTTTTAGCTCTTGACTTGAGCTTTATCTATAGCAAACAAAAAGATACTACTTTCCACTTTCGCAACGCGCCAACCAGCTAACTAACTAGCTATGAATGTATTTTAGGTAGATGGATATATCATAACAAACAGAAACCTCTCGGTCACGACGGCGACTGCGGCGACAACAACAGCAAGCCAAAAAGAACTTCCGATTCCGATGCCGATGCCGAGAAACGCGACTTTTTTGGTAGTTCGCTTTTGGGTTTTTCTTTTGTTTTGGTCTGTGGTTCGTTCGGGTTTCCGCTATGGAATGCACGACGTCAGTCTGGCGCGAGGGTTCGGTATTAACTGAAACTGCCTGCAATGCTACAGAAATTGGCAAAACAAATGAGTAACCAAGCCAACTTGGTAACTTGGCAACAACAACCACTCAACAAATGGCCAAAGCCACACAGCACAGAGAGAGCGAGAGAGAGAAAGAGAGAGCATGTACGGCTGTGCTTAAGAGAAACTCTTTAGGGTTGCCAACCGAAATTGAAGTAAGTCAATAAGATAGTATGACAAGGCTGCTAATATATGCGGGCTATATCGAATAGATAAGATAATAGCTGAAGTTAATACAGATAAGGAATTATTAATGAGCTAATACTTGGGTAATATTTTTTGGCTGTTGAAATTAGATAGCAGCAGTAGAACTTGATTATTAATTCATAAAATTAAGCAATGTTTTATCTAATATTAGTCGGAAAAAGAAAAATTATATTGATCAATATATATGTACATTGCAATATTACTAATGCTGGATGTACACAAAAAAAAATGATCAACTAAACATTACATTACATTAAACATACATATATTTAATCTATTAAAAAAATAAAATATTTAAATATATAAAAATGGTAATTTTTTTTTTTTTTTTATTTAGTTATAAATATTTGAAATAAGCTTTAGCTCAACAAATTTGTATAGAAAAATATTTATTTTAATTCAATGTTTCAGCTAATTTCCAATCTATTTTGTACAGTTTATTATATATTTTATATACTTTTTCATATGACTTATAAGCTCTTGCTTATCTTTCGAGCAGCTCGACAGCTCTATTAAGCAGCATTTCAATGCAAAGTCAACCTGTTTACAAACAACAACTAAACGCGCTCTCTTAAATGCCAGCTGTTACGCTGCGCTCTCTCTCTCTCTCCCTCTCTCTCTCTCTCTCTCTCTCTATGCCGCTGTTGTTGTCGTTCTATCTCTCTCTTTCCGTATCGCTCTCTGTTAACCCTTTTGCGGGTCTGGCTTACGAAAGCGTTCAAGTGAACTACATTGAAACTGTGTGTTGTGCATGCTACGATAAGAGGAAGGGGAGAGGGAGAGAGAATGAGAGAGTGGGGGCTGCAATGCACAGCGAATATTTCAATGAAAATCAAATTTACATACGACGCCAAGTCACAGCAAAAACAAAAACAACAACAATAAGAACAACAACAATAGCGCACACAAGAGCGGCAATAACAATGGAGCACAGACATAGACATTGGGTCTAGTGCGTGGTACCACAACCAACAAATCCCAAGACCCAAACAACATGCACAATGAGCGCTTCAAGTGGCAAAAGAAAAAAACAACTGAAGATGCCTCAAGCCTAACTCTTGCGCCTGGCCCCATTGTTCTAACCGAGACCCGGAGACCGGCGGCCGGAGACCGGAGACCGAAGACCCAGACCCCTTGCTAACCCTTCAACGGGCAGACAAGACAAGACTCAGGCCATTAGGCGGAACTACTATGTGGCCATCCATTGCGTGGCCTCTTGTTTATGTTTGGGGCGTCTGTTGATGGTTGATTGTTGATGTTGATGTTGATGTTGATAGTGATGGCTACTGTTTGGTCATTTACCAAATTGAGCATTTGACTGCTTAGCTGGCTGCTTTGTAATTAACCAGGCGTAACCAAGAACTCGCTTGAAGAGTGAAACTTCGCTCGCGCTTCCGTTGTCGATCTTGGGTTTTCTTTTTCTTGCAGCTCCTCAAACTCGAACCTCGGGCGGTCGGTTGGGTCAGTCGCCTCCTTTGGAGCCGGTTAGCCAACATTTGTAGGGCATCGGCGAGGCAGTTCGATCGATCTGTAGTCACTGTAACGATGCGTAACGAGGCGTGTTCTTGAGCTCTTTTCAAATCTCTTGCACACTCTCGATCTTGTTGCGGTCATTTAGAAGACCAATGCAATTCCTATCTCCCTCCCTCTCAATGCGTCTCTCTCTCTCTCACTCCTGACTTCGGGTGGCACCCAAACTGGTTTCAGTTTTGATTTTTTAGTCTGCAGCTTATGGTACATTTGAGTTCAATTATTTCTTATGATACTCTGTAAATGGAGGATTGCTTAGGGGTAAGCTCTGAGATATTATACGTCGTTTCAGAGAAATACGTATACATATTATACATACATAAACCTTTATAGAAGTGCGAATGTTCATATTACTTACATAGCCGGAACCTTTTTCTTAATATGAGAGCATTGATTCAAATCGAGTGTTATATTTGCATAGAACTTAATCCACTGATATGATTACTAAAGGAAATATAATATTGTTACAATTTGTGTAATAAATTAATGCAGAAGAAGATAAGAAGAATGAATTTGAATTAGGGGAATGAATTAGGATTAATTTTTCAAGATAAAGTATTATATCAAAGTAATATTCCTCGGGTATATGCCATATAAAATATATTAATTTTCCAAGTCTCACATTATTCATTGTCATAAATGATAAAATATCCATTTTCATCTCATTTTAATTTTCTAGAGTATATTCCAAGTCTTGCTGCATCTCTTCGGACCTGGCTAATAATACCATAATTATGATGTGTTTTTTTCGCACTTGCCATGGGCATGAGTCAACAGCTCTGGGGCATTACAAGCTCTGCGTTGCTTTGCTTTATGCGCGAAGTTTTTGTTATGTATCGCGTATTGTTTGTGTTTTTATATATTTTCGTAATGCATTGCGAATCGCAGTGAGCCAATGACAAGAGAACTTGGCTCGGTCAGTGTGTTGGCTACTGGATATGTGTGTCAAAGACAGTTAAGGATCTCCACCCAGCAGAGCGCATCGTGTGTGCGGCAACCAGATACAGATACAGATACTAATAGAGATACATTTCAATTACAACATTTGGCGCATTCTAAGAACCTTGAAGTCCAATTCTTAGCCCAGAACCAGCCAGCATATTTCGAAATTGCTTAAAGCTAAGCCAAAATACCGCTAAAAAGGTCAGACCTGGGCGTGAGAATTGAGAGCTCAGTCCAGTTGGCCAGCTCCAGCCCCAGCCACAGCCCCAGACCCAAAAGAGTCGCTCTATAAAAGTTCACCAAAGCGCAGACCCGCAACATATTCCAAATGCTACGCTGCCTGAACTGGATCACATCGGAACGGAACGAGACGAGCCGGAGTTGGGCCAACGACTTCCGCAAGCGGCTTAATTGACGAAGAAGAAGAAACAGAAGAATTACAACAAATGCAATTGCAATTGAGGTCAGCAATAAGGTCAGCTGGAAGAGACACGGTATTAGGCCAGGCTCAGGGCAACCAAAAAGGGCAATAGGCAGAGGAAGAAGAAGCAGCAGCAGAGACAACGCCAGCTGTTTGTACTTCACATAGCTTGCGCTTCACTTCAGGCAAGGGCAGCGCGAGGGGCGGACTCTTCTACTTTTGTGACCATCATGGTTTATGGTCGGCTAGTGTAATAGTTTCTATGACTATTGCAGCTGTTGTAGTTGTTGTTGTTGTCGTCGTCATTATTATGCTTGTAGTTGTTGTTGTTGGCTTTGTAGCTGTTTGCTGTAACCAAGCGGCATTGAGTTGCTGCTGTTATTGTTTTAATGATGCCAGAAAGAGACAGCTGCACAGAGAGCGCGGCTGGCAAAGAGAAAAAACTGTGCACTCGCCCGACCTGTTGTTGATGGATCTTAAGAGCGTCAATTGAATCATGTGGATGGTAAGTGCTTACGTTCCACAGCTGGCAGCTCTGTGTTGTGGATTTGCCACAATAATGAAAAAAATGTAAACTTTGAAATTTTAGCAGAAATAGAAATTTAAAATTTATTAATTTAGAACGACGAAAATTGTAATAAATATTGCTATTAAATTTATAATATGCTGCCTGATAAAGAAATTTAAGCAACATGTTTATTACAAGTGGAGAATTAAAAATAAAAATTGTTTATTTTATTCAACGCCTTGATTATAAAAAAAAAAAAAAAAAAAAGTTGGAATTCGTTAAGCAACATGTGGAAAATATACTCGTTTATTTGAATATAATATGTTTGTGTATATATAAATATATAGATATTTATATAAATTGTCATATGCAAACTATGTTTGATTTCATATCCATTATATTTTTCTTTTAGTTACAAAGTGAGTGTTAGTTATGTTGTAGGTGTCTTTTATTCACATAGTTCTCGCTTCATAGATAATACATGTTTGTAAAAATGTTCGCATGAGTTGATTTCATTAGAGGCCTCGTTAGAGATACACAGAGTTACATAGTTAACATACATTATGATACAAACATAAATTAAATACCAATAAAATATATATGTATATGGGCACGCATCTGATGCATGCAAGCAGGATTGCCTCAGCGCCAGCGATGGGGCCAACGCAGGTTCCACACAAATCGAACGTCGCTGGGAAAGCGCAGCCAAAGTGCAAATACAACAATCAGCAATAATGCAGCGGCCACCACGTAAGGCAGATTCTGGGAAAGGATATACGGAATATTAGTGGGTGTTATTAGCTGGAGCGGGACTCGAGCTGGAGTTGCAGCTGTGGTTGGAGGAAAGGTGGATACGAACTGCTTCGGCGTAAGCGTGTGTATTATTACCAAAAACAAATTACAAGCAATGTGGAGTGCTAAACGCGCCAATGCTACGTGAACGTTGAGCAAGAGGCGAGCTCTTGCCCAGAGCTCATGTTGCATGATGCGTTGCCACATCACATTCCTAGGCAATTTGCAATCTCTAAAATGTTTGCGCACTTATAAACCTAGCCTAGCTATTGCCCCGCCCCCCGCTGAAGCACTTAAATCTGCAGCACTCGCTTCACGTCGACAGTGGGGAAGACGGCGAATTCTCCTGCTGACGCACGATGTGGCTTCCGCTGTAGATACTCTGTCAGTATGTCCGAGGCGAGGCGGGAGGCGCGCGTGCGGATCTCCGCCTTCGGGGGCAGCGGCTGATTGCGGCGCTGCAGCGCGATGGTGTTGATATTGGCTGCCGACATGCCGCCGCTGCCCTTGGCCTGCACCTGCAGCAGGGACAGCACCCAGGCGTGCTTCATTTTGGTCAGCTGAGACTCGAGCG